AGAATCCCAGAGAACAGTCCTGCCTAACGAATCGAAGGCGGTCCTAATGTCAAGAAACACCACGGTTGTTGGCCTGTAATGTGTATGACAATGTCCAAACATTTTGCGGAGGGTGAAAAATTAATAATACAGCTTTGGTCAGAACGCAAAACAGCCTGTTCCTCTCGAGTCAGTCTTTCTCGGGTTTCGAACAATCTACAAAGTATGAGAGAAGCCAATAGTTTTGACTCAATCGGAAGTAGACCTATCTACGATAGTTGTAACATAAACGACGTGAACCATTTTTAAAGATAGAGACAACTATCGACTCATTCTATGACGTTGGAACATTCTCTAATTGCCAGATCTTTGTAAACAACTAAGTCAGTTCCTTAACCAGAAAGTTGCTACAATCTTTAAAAAGGTCAGAGGTAAGTCTTTTATCTGGGCTCGTCGATTTGTAGCGCTTAAAGAGTTGGAGATCCTTACGGACTTCCGCTTCGTTAGGTGGATCAGTCGTCACAGGCCATGAAGAGTAATACAGTCTGCTCGATGTTGCCGGACGGCAGAGCTGTTGAACTTCTCGAAAAACTGCCCATCGTCCACGAAATTGGTAGATGTTAATGATTGGAATGCTATCAGCCTCACAGATTGTTACTCTTACACCAAACCTCTTGCTGTCATTGACTCGGATGAGTTGAAAGAGCTTTCAATAGTCACCAGATGCAGCTGCTGCTGCCAACTCATTGTCACGCTTCAACCACCAGGCTTCTCGGTGCTTACGCAAACTTCGAACTATTTCATTACTTAACAGTCTTCGTTTGTGGTCAAACCCACGGTCACCAGAGAAGACTGATGTGCTTCAACGAGTTATAAAGGGCCTGCAGAAACTCAGTGCTTATGAGCCGGACGTATCGCGAGGCCGCAAGCGAATTTACTTGCCATTTTAGTGAAATCACGCGGTTGCAGCCAACGCTCATCTATACTTGTCAGAGGGTTGTTAGCCAGCCTTGAACTTATCTCGGCTCGTTGGCGTCGGTCAGTTCAGAGAGATTAATTTTCTGGCTACTAAATCATAAGATTAGCGCAGGCAAGGGGATGACCAGGGTTCAGACAAATACTCTGAAACGGGGGCAGTTTTCCATACAACCGTGCTAGAGGTAGCTGGCAAAGATGTGGTCAATTTGAATCAAGGTTTAAGTTCCAGAGGGAGGGCACCAAGTATCACATCAGCAATGACTGTGTCTATAGTTGTTGGTGACCCGAACAACTCCCCTGTGATTCTAAACCAATAAGCCGTGCATTCAGGCCTCCAGCTAATACTACCATATCTATATGACGCAATATCTGTAAAACAATTAACTTGAGGTAAAACTCATCCTTGATCGTATGTAGGTTACGGTCTGTCGAAGCATAGATGATGGTGAAAAAAATTGTTGCTCACACCTATTTATTTCCACGTTTGTGAATATTTCCAATTTAACATCACAATACCGACTGTTAGTGGTGATTCTATCGATCAGTGCTCCCTCAGTTCTAGCTGTCATTGAGATGAAAACGTCAGAAAAATCCGAGGAAGTTGCCACAGGGTGCTGGAATAAACGTACGTGAAATAAGCTTCCCAAAGTGATAGATGGAGAGCCAATTTGTAGTGTTTCTAAAGACACAGCCAACCTCATCTGTTGTCCAACCTGAATTAGTGTGGGAACATTGAAGGAGACTAGTTTGAATGATGTACGTGGTTTCAGAAAGACTGATTCAATATTCATAGTCGGCTGTAGCATTCAGCTTTTGTTCACTCAATGAATTTAGGTCACTTAGATAGGACAGGGTGCACACTGTAGTCTCACTCATTGGCCAGTGATGCTTACTGATAACAGTTGAAATATTTTGAAATTAGTATGGAGAAATCACTTGTTTTAAATGGTACTGAAGTTAAACACGATACTCGTTAAAATCCTTAAGTGTAGCTCGAGGTTTGACCTTTACTCTAATTGAGTCCTTTACGTATATTACTGATCATTGGATTATGAAAATTGTCTACAGTGATATCATTCCATTGTGGAGCGTTTTCGTTTTCCTTAAATTCACGTGTTTTTGCAGATGTTCTGGCATAAAAGAACTTTTGTTTTTCACCTAAATCATTATGTGCATCGTGTTAATTTAAATTTTCCATAATTCATGTTTCATTCTTATATTTTTTGCACGACTCCTTAGTACGTTTAACCATTTCCTTAAGGAAAAGTAAAAATGTCAGTAGAATTACTAGTGTATTCCCTGCCTAAGCTGTGAATCCATAATTTACAAAGTGTTTAAAATAATTATTGTATACTAGATATTTACCTCATTAACTTATTTCTTTAATCTCTTCTTCCGCAGAATTAGAAACATCACTGAATCGAAAATACACTTATTCAAGCCTACAAATATAATATATCTCACTATCTGAAGAGATAGTAATGATTTCTATGGCAGAGATTGTATCCACCAATAATTAAGAATATAATTTATTTCTATATTAACTCTGCTTTGCATTTTTAATGTGTCACATTAGTTACTTTGATTTTAAAATATGACGTAACAGAGATTTATGGATGTATAATATACTTACAGTAAATTGTGGTACCTCTATTAAATATATAAGTTTGATATTCAGACGTTGATACTTATTTACAGTCAATTATTTACAATGCAGATCCACAGATTTACAATATACTATAAATTAAGCAGAGATGGATAGTGGCTAGCAGTGGAATCCAGGACGCGCGTTTCGTCCTATTTGCTAGCCACTGCTAGCCACTATCCATCTCTGCTTACCATGCTTGTGAATTTAGGTATATCGAGGCAATACGCACAGTATGCACATATGCCAATTAGAGACTGACCAGTTGCAGTCCTAAACACATCGATGGGAAGATCCAAACAAACAATACCAAGTGAATACTATAAATTAGTTAACAGATTTAATGGCGAAATGCATTAAATCCGTTTGATAAATTATTGATAATCCAATTATTGCTGGTAGCAGGTAGCAAAACACCGTTCGTAAGAAAGATGATTTTTTCTATTTAAGGAGAAAATTAACGAGCTTAACTAAAGCATACATTTATTTATTATCAGAATAGCAATATGCAAATGAAATTCCTATCAAATATGCTTATAAATATTGGGTGAGTATAGAAGTAAACTTGGTTGATGACTTATCTATTCATCGTCTCTTTCGGAGATACCCTATGTGCCAAACACTGACTGTTATATGTGAAGATAACATCCCAGTTATTCAAGAAAGAAAACTTCAGACAACCCTAGTTTTTCATTATTTAAACATTAGATGGATAGTAGCTAGCAGTGGAGTCCAGGATTCACGTTTCGTTTTATTTAGGACGGATTTGTAAATATTAGTATGAAACCACTAAGACTGGTATTCTTCTGCAGTTGTAATCAGAGAAGATGGACTGATATTTGCAGAAAAAACAGTCAAGGTCGAGACAATTGATTGTTATTTTGCAAATTAACTGTTTACTGTATGGTTATCAGATTGTCACCCACTCACGTTCTTGTTCACCACAGTATCATTAAGAGTAATACATTTTCGGTTATCAAATATTTTCTTCAAATTTTCTTTCTTCTTAGCAAGACTTATTATTTATATTTATTTCTACTATATACAACAGAACAGAGATCTGTAGTATTTCTTTATTGAACTTATTGATGTCAGTCAGTCACAACGTAGAACTTCATAGGCACGTTCATCAGTTCGAGTTGCCATACCACATTAGCACAGAGATGCAGTTGTCGGTTCAAATCCCAAAGTGGTAGAAGTAGTAAGAGTATAAGCATTATGTGAAAGATTGGGGTTTGAAGATGTTATTCAAGGAGTACAATTCAGTGAAATAAGTTTGGAAAGAGAAAAAGATAAAGACATGAGGAATTTGGTAGAACACAAAGAGTGGATGCACCTTCGCCATTGCAAACGATTTTGAGCCATGTCATTCAAGGTCTCTAACCATCGATTGTTATCATCTCGCGAATCCCAACCAGGTAGTCTACACCTACCAACATGGATCGGTCTACTTGTCAGTGACTTCATGGATTTGTGCCACGTTTTAGCCTAGCCACTCCTAGCTTTATTCTAACCTACTCCTACACCATAGAGCATTGCACGTCGGGGCAGCCGGTGGTTGGGCATAGGTAACACGTGTTCCAGCCATCTCAACTGATGAAGTTTCACTACTTCATCAATCGATTTGCAATCCTTACCTAGTACTCGTTTCCTAACATCTGCATTACTTACCCGGTGGTCCCAGGATATACGAGCAATGCTTCGAAGACACCTACGATCGAATACTAGTAGCCTACGAATATCCTCTACTCTTATCGGCCATGTTTCACTGTCATACAGTAGGATGGAACGAACTGCTGCACAGTAAACCTGTTCTTTTGTAGCTAGACGGATATCTCGCCTATGCCAAAAATGACGTAAGTTGGCGAAAGCTAGACGAGCCTTGTGTATCCGTGCTGAGATTTCGTCATACACCAGACCACAAGGGCTGATGAGACTCACAAGATAAGTAAAGCGGTCAACACGTTCAATTATTTCATTCTCTATCATTAGTTCAGATGCCGATGCAACCCAATTCTGAAGTAACATTTTTCTTTTCGAGGGAGAGAATCGCATCCCAAACATGCCTGCATTGTTGCCTATAATGGTCAGAAGACTGCATTTTGTCAGCGTCTTCACAAAATAGAACTATCTCATCGGCGCATTTTAAGTCATATGGTTCATATAGTTGAATTTACCACAATATTAAAGATCAAAACAAGTTAATATAAATAACTTTATTCAATATATACAAATGAAATTAAGAGGAAGGTCAATAATAATAATGATAATAATTCATTTGAATTGTATGTTGTTTATTCTTCTGATGGCAAAACGGAAAAAGAAACCATCTTTCCATTCAATTCCTCAATTAACCGTTAGTTCATCTCATTTTCATCTTATTTATATTCATAGTAGTTTAACGTTGTAATTTAGAATTTGATTGTTCATTAATAGAACGATTATTATTTTTACGACGTAATTGATTAAATATTTCCCAAAATGTATTTTTAAATTGTCTTGACATAGCCAAATATACAAAAAAATTTGCTGGATAAGATAATATCACCAGAAAGTTACATATTTCAACAATCTAAAATAAAAGACGAGAAAACAAGATAATTATTTATTAGTTATAGTTGAATCCATGAGCCAATTGAGGCTAGACCACCAGGGAAAATCTGGAAGTGCTCGACAGCCGTTTTGTCCTATTGTGGGACTTCTCAGCAGTGCGCATTCAAGATCCCGCCTCGCGAGATTCAAACCCAGGACCTATCACTCTCGCGCGCGAGCACTTAACCTCCAGACGACTGAGCCAGGTTCAAGCTCTCGAGAGACGGGATCTTGGGTACGCATTACTGAGGAGTCCCACAATACGACTAAATTGTCGTCCAGTTCTTCCAGGTTTTCCATGGTGGTCAAGCTTCAATTGACCTGTGATCTCAACTACATAAACTTTTTAAATAGTTTATTTTATATTAATTAGCAGACATATAGGAGTAGGATACAATGTATAAACAGTTTCATAATTAATCATATATAAAATAAAATTTATTTTGTCTGTTATAACTTGTGCCTGAGTGCCCTGTTTAGGTATGACGTGAAAATGCTGCCAATTAGAATATAGTGAATTATCGATCAGAGCTATGATACAAAAAAGCCGAATTAACAGTCTTGAGTACTTATCAGTCCTGCCTTCTGTCTAGCCCAGCCAGTTAAGTCCAGAACACCAATAGCAGCCTCTGCAATATGAATCATTATTCTCAAACATACTGGGTTTATATACCAATCAAACAGATCACATAGTACCATAAAATAGAAAACAACATTTGTACCAGATTTGTCCAAATGTGGCTGTGATTAGGGGGAACAGTTATTAATAGACTGGGTATAACTCAGGAATGGTAAATCGTACAGTAATAGTCTATGGGTCAAAACAAAGCTCATAATAAAAGGAACATAAATATGAATAGTTAATTTACTTAACGATTATACAATAGGAAATATACATATCATATTGGTCCAGAAACAGTCCTCAAAGTTACCATTCATAATTGTCTTCGGGATATAACGTGTCCTTTGTTTCTATTCTTTATTGATGATTAACTATATTAAAGTTTATCACTAAAGCATGTCAGTATAATTTTTGACTGAAATTCGGAGTCTGACTATCATCTCAAGATTCGAGATGTATTGATTTGGTTATGATACTATTGCTTTTTTTATATTGATAATGATACAATGTATACGTAAGTCTTAAAAATACTACGTTATCTTCTATCCAGTGAGTTGATTTCAATGTTAAAACAACCAAGTTTAAAATGATGTCATACACAAGGGATACTGTTGTGAATAAAAGTAGTAATCGCTTTTGACTTTCAACGTTTCATATTTTGACATATGTATATTATCATCTATATACATTATATATGATATATTTTCCTTACTGAATGCTTGTTTGAGAGAAATAAATTCAGAGATCAAAGCTATGTTACTTAAACATGTTACAGTCTATAAATTTTAATGTCATCTGTATAAAATAACATTTATCGATACGAAAATAAACGGTGTAAGTTTATGGAAAATCCTAAGACATACATCACCAGGATGAAATATAGTTTCCAAGAAAGTTTTGAATTCAAGTATCTAAACAAAAATATTATTTAGTCTATTGTATAAGTATACAATATGTATTTTATAATCACGATGAAGCCCTCAATAAACCTTCTCTGCTTCTGTTTCAAACAAATGATTTGAAACTCATGGTAAACTTTCATGTTTATATTACTAGAGATATAAATTTTGTGGTCAAACAAGTTGAATTCAAATAGTGGTGAAGCGAAGTGATAATTGAACGTGATCAAGATAGGAGGAATCTAAAGTGAGTAGTCAATACAATAGCTTCATGCAGCTAAATAATACTGTTTAGGTCACTACTTCAAATTTAAGTGAACTAACGTGTTTTACGACTAGTAAAATTGTTCGTGATGCATCCTGGTGTTTAGTAAGTTTACATGATATGTAATATGGTATCTTTAATTAGGGCATACTTCCTAAATCGATAGATCGTAAAGAAAACGGCTCTATTTGAGTAAGTTTATACTAACATAAAAGTAAATGTAATTTTTAGCTCTGTAGTATTTTTTAAAATTCTCTAAATGATGCAACTGAAATCTACTGTTATTGAGTAGCCTAAATTTCATAAATTTGACTTCTCAACAAAACAATCGATAACCAGATAGATAGCTTGAGTATAACTTCTTCAAATAACTAACTTCAAATTTATGAAGTTCATTTGAAAGTTCTAACGAAGCAAATGTCTACTGTTCACGATAGTTATTAGTTTTATTAAATCATATTTATCCGATAACACTACAGATAAAAGCTTTAGAATTATGGGAGCTCATCATCCATAGAGGTCAATTTTCATAGCCTTGAGGACAGCCGACGAGGTGTTACCGTAGTATGATGATGAAGCATCTTTGAATAAGCCAATTTCTCCCTAACTGATGTAAAGTAATAATCATTTGTAGTGTTCATTGGTAACTCAGATTACAACTTTATTTGCCCTTAATATATTAAGCCTCATCTAATCCAATGATACACACTTAAATGTGCGATTTAATTGGAAATTATGAGTCCTTTTATTTCAATAAAGTGTCCCACTCATTTCACTTTATGGAAATAGTCTCTTGTTTCAAACACCATACGTTTATAAAAACCAACTAAGCACTAGTATTAATGCTTTTATTACTGTATGTTAAATTTTTCTGGTATAGTTGTAAGGCGCTATCAGAAAACGTCACCTCAAGATTAGTAGAACCTATAGGCCTATATTTATAACATGATAAAATCGTTTAACAAGTTTCAAGGCCCAGAATCCTTTCCGGTGTGCTCAATTATGTCTGAAGGGAATAATCTATTTTAAGCATTTCCTTTGTATACACTCAAAGGCAACTTATATTTTAAGCGTTCTATCAATTGATTTTGTTTTGTTATCATAATTTATTTACTAATGTAATCTATCAATTCATGTATAAAGCTTTTGATTCTGCGTAATAACTACTTAAGTTATATTAATCACTTTACTAGACTAATTAAGCCAATATCACTTCCCTCAAATGGCCTTTAACTTATAATTAGAGCTAATTTAGTCTATTTTCATTGCGTTTATTATAATATTTATAAACATATAATTCAACCGTTGGTGTACTTTACAATCATATATATATATATATATATATATATATATATATATATATATATATATATATATATATATAAATTTATTCATTTGTAGGCCTATTCCCTAAATGTAACTTTTTCAAAATTAGAGAAGAGCGTAATCAGATAACTATTGTTTGACCATACGTCTATTTTGCCCGACTTAGTTCTATATATGGCTCTTCAATAGCTTACGGTCACACAACAAGCGATTCAGGTCAACTGTTGTTTTGTAACTTTAATGGATTAGTTTGTACAGGTTGATAATATTTATTTGTGGACTAGCAATTATATGAAGTATTCATATAGCATTTATTTATTCTTCTTGTGAACTTATTGCGATTATCCACGAAATTTAGACGTAAACTATATGTGTCCTTAAACTATATCTGGTTCATTTATTTCAAAAAATGAATTTTTCGGGAACTAATCATACACACATGCGTTTCTCTTTAAAAACATTACTACGGTTTCACTTATTTAGCTTTAAACTGTCAAAGTGTTACAAATAATTTGGTTTAAAACGTTTTGTATTCTGTTTTGAGTGCGTATGGCTTTATATCAACAAAAACTTATTAGCCAGCTCTTATGAAACTGATTCTTAAGATGAACTGCCAGTAAATTTGTTCATTTCAGTAGCAATCTGAAAAACCTATTGAGAAATAGGTATATTTAGGGAAAGATTTGCTTATTATTAAGTCAAGAATATATCACCAAATCAAGTCATCAATAAAACGTATCATGTATTTATAGGTTTTGTATTTTATATTAGAGACATTTCTTTGATCTTTTAGACACTAATATAACCAGCTGTTTAAATTTATTTGTCTTATGAAAACAATCAGAAAGGAGTTTTGTGGAGATTTTAACAATTTAATAGTTGAATTCATTAGTCGAACCACCACAGCAAACCTGGAAGCATTGGACGGCCGTTTCGTCTTAGTATGGGACTCTTCAGTAGTTTCAGTGAGAAGCTGTGACCAGTGGAGTTCAACTGGGTCTGTTGTGAGATAATAACTCGTTGAAGACAACAGAGTACGGTGGCGCAGTTTAGTGGATTGGTTGAAGTTAGACATTAACACGGTTGGATGCCGTTTCAGTAGTCTAGAGGTTAAGCGTTCGCGTGCGAGACTGATGGATCCTGGGTTCGAATCCCGCGAGTGGGATTGTGAATGCGCACTTCTGAGGAGCTCCATTCTAGGACGAAATGGGTGTTCAATGCTTCCAGGTTTCCAATGGTTGTCTAGCTTTAATTGACTCAAGAATTCAACTAATAAATTAAGAGAATAAGTAAAAGCTTTTAATTCAACTTCATAAAACTGTTCCACTCAATTATAGTTAAAAGTTGTTACTAAGATAATTCACATTGTTTATTGTTAATTAATAGCTTTAAGCATAATATACTATAGATTTCTATCAAGACAAGAGAAATTAATGAAGTTGTTTTCTCTATTAAGATGCTATTTATAATGTGAATATTAACAAATAAATAGTCACATTTCACAGTGCCAATTTTTATGTGAATTTATCAAAAGAATAATTAGATTTAAGTTATTACCATGAGGAAAGTAACTAATTATCTTGTTAAAAATATATTAATCTTTAAGAAAGGTAGTTATATATGGTAGAATTGAGATAGATATACCAATCATTTCAAGTTAATAATTTTCATTGTTATCAGTATGGGGATTTCTAGAGCTTGTACTGTTTTCACAGATGAAATTACAATTCGATCTAAGCTAAATCATCACTGAAAAGTCGAAAGTACTGGATGGTCGCTTCGTCCTAGTATGGGTCTCTTCAGCACCCACGATCCCGCACGTGGAACTCAAACCTAGGACATACGGTTTGGCACGCGAACACCTAACC